AAAATGCTATTTATGGATTTTTTGAAAGATGATTCTTTCAGTTGATTTTACAAAAAAATAATCTATTTCTATTTTTTGATTTACAACTAGACTAACCTTGGTTCATATAAAAACAATAAAAATTAATTTAATTTATCGAAAAAGTCAATTTTTTAATCAAAATCACAAAACAAATTAATCGAACAATTTTTAATCTTTTTTTCACAAAAAATACAATTTATTAAAAATCAATTTATGATATTTCAAACAATAAAAATTGATAGCAAATAACGTATTAATAACGTATACTCTATGCGATGACAATTTATGTATTTGCGCAAATTCAAAAAGAGAGGTTTTGGATAACGATAAAACAACGATTGATAAATAAACAAATTTTTAAAATAAAATCATTTTTGTTTTAAACGGTTTTATTTATTTTTCAAAACATATATACACAAGAAATATATGTTTATATTAATATTTTATATAATACAATATTAATTTCAATAAATGTATCTTTAATTTATTAATCAATTTTATATATTATTTGGCGTTTTTGTTGTGTTTTGACGATTTTTGATATAATCAATTAACAAAAACTCACTTTATAAAAATTCTTTGATAATTTTATTTATAGAATTTTAAATCAATAATGTCAGTGCTATACATATCTCTGAGGATGGTAAGTCATGTAACAAACAGACAATATCAACGCGGACTTAAACATCTAAGAAGTGAAATGACATGTTCCCATATTTAAAAATAGTAACTTACTCAATAATCATTTCAGACAGATGTAAAAGTGTGAACTTTCTATTTCTGTCATCCTCAGAAAATAATTGCCATCCTCAGAACTGTAAATCTGTTTAAAACACAAGTTAATATCAAAATGAAACAATCATATTAAAATATACACAACATGATTAACTTTGTTATTATAATAAATTTGAATAATTGCATAAATTACAAAATTATTTATAAATTTGTTATTTTAAAAATGCATTTTTAGAAAATCAGTGTTTTCGACTTTTTCAATTTTCATTTTGATAAAAAAACAATTATCAATTTAAACGTAAATTTCAATTATTATGTTATAAAGACGGATTCGGAAATAATTTCAATAAGTATATAATCATAATATGAACAAGTTTAATTCATGTTTTGTTATTTTCCGTCTCAAGTTCGCGAGATATAATTATTGTTTTTGTTCATCAATTATTGTGGCGATTTTTTGATTGTATTTAATTTTTTGGCATTTATGACAAATTATTACCATTATTTAAAATTTGAACTTTGACTCGAAATATTAAGTGTAAATTATAACTTGAGTTATGAAAGTGGGCTTTATGGGGAATTGAACTTTATGGATTTGATTTTTGTATCCTCAGAAAAATATTTTTTAATAAGGATAGCTTTGATCCTGGGGATACACCTTATCCTCAAGAAACCCTTAATAATATCAACCTATCAATAAAAAATAACAAGAAGAATTTATCAAAATGTATCATTTAAATTTAGTTATATTACAAAAATAATTATCATCGTATATGTGTTTATGTCAAACAGACTATTTTAAAAATCAAAAATTAATAAACTTGCAAACTTTTTTTATTGAATAAAATATGACATCAAACCAGAAGTGTTAAATTTTAATTGAAGTTTAAATATAAATTATTGTAACAACCGTTTTAGTTTTTGAAAATAAACTTAGACAAGTATTCAATTATGTTATTAATTTATAATTATTCTAACAAATTTGGAAATATTTTTTAAAATCCATTAAAAATAAGAAACATTCAATTGTTGGTGAGTTGATTCACATTTATCATTACATTTGTAATTAAAATATCAATAATCACTTCATAATAAATCACTCATATAATAAATTTATAATTTACATGGATTATTATTTCAATTTTAATAATATAGATATTTATACAATCTTTGTAATTAGTATATTTTTAAGCTGTTTTTAATGATTAATTATCTGAATAATAACAATTAATTTATTCATTTTTTCTTTACAAACAATTATACTAAAAATATTACAGTATGGGGAGTGA